TTTTGCTGAAAATTCAGATTTGTAAAATCCTCAATATAGCATTCTTCTTCTTTCTTTCTTTCTAGTGCACACCTGCGAACTAATCTATACTCGGATAGATTTTGGCTTTTGGCCGAGCTATCTTTCACCAGTCTTTGCAAATGACGGTCGTGAAAGGATCCCCGTCTATTTACCGATAATCTTCCAATGCTCTTTAAATTTGCGAAAATTCCCATCAGAGAATTCAGAAGAGTAGATGGCGAGCATATGAAGACTTTCGATAAATTATTGTCGGGTCAGTACATTTATATGGGAACGGGCTACAAGTTAAAACGTGTTCACTTTTTCGTACAAGCGAGTCCTGGGAATAGGGGGGAGTGGCCGATAAGCGAAGGCTGGTTATGAGCGCAGGGTTTGGTGGAGCCAGTCTAGGTAGTGGGGAGGGGGGTGATGGAGGGGAGGGGGACAAACAGAGCGCTGACGAGTGCATGTCGCTAAGTGACTGTGTGCCACGCCAGGCGCGAAGACTGCAGGAAGTTCTCTGTGCACACAACGCCGGCTTCATTAACCTGATAGCGGTCGCTACTGGTGTTGCTAGCAGACACTGACAAAGAGACTTTGGAGAGTTTTTTGGGACTTATTAGATCACCGGGAGGGCTTTGTTGGGGTCCATACGATATCTGGAATCAACCACGTGCTCCAGAATAGAACTGTCTATGCTCCTGACCTCACTTTTTCTCAGCCATGATGGGGAGTGTTTCCTTATTCTTTCCTGTGTAAGACCGGGTTAGTTGAGAATAATACCAAATGTATCTGACAAGTATCTGACAAAAGTATAACCATAGTCAAAAATATGAACAATCCGCACTGAGCTTTAAATCACTCCTTAGACAGATCCTTGCCATGGCTTTGGTTATTTCTTTTTAATAATCTACTTGTTTTTCAGAATGATAGGTTTGAATTCTCTTATTATTCAGCCAGCTCCCTAGAATAGCTACTGTCTCTCAGCTAACTGAAATGCCTATAATTCAACGAACTTGCCACTGCTCGGATCAGAGACCAATCAACCGTTCACAGCGAAATTTCAGATAAGATTGATAATCAAAATTCCCCTGATGCTTAGTAGCCACACCTGAGGGGTGCGATGAATTCGACCATGCGACAACAGAAAGTACCGCTTTTCGCTGCACATTGGTGAACTGACACTTCTAAACGACTGTTTATAGTTCAAGTCGACCGGTGATATGGCTATTGGCCAGCTGCTAAACAGAAAAATCATCTCCAGTTTATGTAATGTGGTTTGTCTCATGCCTCCGAATTGTCGTTGGAAAACCTTCTGCGGTCAAAAATTGTTTTTGCTGCGTTTCGACTGTAACTATCTCCTTCGGTATTCTTCCGAACCAATTTCCTGTTTTCCTGTATATATCTGAGTTATCCTACGTTCATATCTCTCGTTTTCCCTTCTCGTTGAAAACCTATCTACTGAAAGTCGTAAAGTTGTTAGTTTTATTCGTCGGTAACGCACTCATGATACACGACAGCCGCCAATCTGGTGCGAAAAAGATGCCTGAATTCTTCCTCTCATTCCTCTGTACTCTCTTCCAATTTTATCTGCCACACTTAAAAACTATCCCCCCTATTATAAAACGTCTCCCTCAAATGTATTCTTCGGCTGCCGGTATTCCTTATATCTCTTTAGGGAGGTATAAAAAAGCACGTTTAAAAATGACCAAATAAGTTGTTGATCGAAAGCTATATGATGCTGTCCACCCGATTCACTCTGTGTCAAGTACTGTGAAGTTTTTCCGACCCATCGACACATCAATGTCTCGCATTACGGTTTATAACGCGATATCCTAT